AACCATTCAGCTTCAGCTTCAGCTTTACTGGTTGGGGCCTAGACTTGGATTACTGTGATATTGAATGGTTTGCCCTGGAAACGAACAGAGGTCATTCTGTCATTTTTGAGACTGCACCCAAGTACTGCATTTTGGACTCTTTTTTGTTAACTATGCTGGCTACTCCATTTTTTCTAAAGGATTCTTGCCCACAGTAGTAGATATAATGGGCGTCTGAGTTAAATTCACCCATTCCAGTCCATTTTAGTTCACTGATTCCTAAAATGTCGATGTTCACTCTTGCCATCTCCTGTTTGACCACTTCCAATTTGTCTTGATTCATGGACGTAACATTCCAGGTCCCTATGCAATAGTCTTTGCAGCATTGGACTTTACTTCCATCACCAGTGACATCCACAACGGGGTGGTGTTTTTGCTTTAGTTCCATCTCTTCATTCTTTCTGCAGTTATTTCTCCACTGTTCTCTAGTAGCATACTGGGCACCTACCAACCTTGGGGAGTTCATCTTTCAGTGTCCTATCTTTTTGCCTTTTCATACTGTTCATGGGGTTCTCAAAGCAAGAATACTGAAGCAGTTTGTCATTCCCTTCTCCAGTGGATCACATTTTGTCAAAACTCTCCAGCGTGACCCATCCATTTTGGGTGGCCCTACGTGGCATGGCTCATGGTTTCATTGAACTAGACAAGCCTGTGGTCCATGTGATCAGTTTGATTAGTTTTCTGTGATTGTGATTTTCATTCTGTCTGCCTTCTGATGGATAAAGAGGCTTATGGAAGCTTCCTGATGGGAGACTGACAGGGGGAAACTGGGTCTTGTTCTGATGGGCAGGGCCGTGCTCAGTAAATCTTTAATCCAGTTTTCTGTTGATGAGGGAGGCAGTGTTCCCTCCCTGTTGTTTGACCCGAGGGCAAACCATGGTGGAGGTAGTAGAGATAATGCCACCCTCCTTCAGAAGTGCATGCTGTGCTGCGCTCAGCGCCCCCCACCCTGCCACCGTGTGACCCAGCAATCCCACTCCTAAGGGAACTAGAATTGAGAGACACGTGACCTCAGTGTTCCTGGGGAGAGCAGAGGAGAGGGTGAGATGTATGGGGAGAGTAACATAGAAACTTACATTGTAATATGTAAAGTAGATAGCCAATGGGGATTTGCCATATGTCTCCCGGAACTCAGACAGGGGCTCTATATCTAGAGGGGTGGGATGGGGAGGGAGATGGGAGGAAGGTTCAAGAGCATGGGGACATATGTATACCTATGGCTGATTCATGTTGAGGTTTAACAGAAAACAACAAAATTCTGTAAAGCAATTATCCTTCAATTAAAAAGTAAATTCAGTTCAGTTCAGTTGCTCAGTCATGTCCAACTCTTTGCAACCCCATGGACTACAGCACACCAGGCTTCCCTGTCCATCACCAATTCTTCAAGCTTGCTCACACTCATGTCCGAGTCAGTGATGCCATCCAACCATCTCATCTTCTGTCATCCCCTTCTCCTCCTGCCTTCAGTCTTTCCCAGCATCAGGGTCTTCTCCAGTGAGTCAGTTCTTCACTTCAGGTGGTCAAAGTATTGGAGTTTCACCTTCAACATCAGTCCTTCCAATGAACATTCAGGACTGATTTCTTTTAGGATGGACTGGTTGGATCTCCTTGCAGTCCAAGGGACTCTCTTCAAGAGTCTTCTCCAACACCACAGTTCAAAAGCATCAATTCTTTGGTGCTCAGCTTTCTTTACAGTCCAACTCTCACATCCATATATGACTACTGGAAAAACCATAGCTTTGACTATATAGATCTTTGTAGGCAAAATGATGTCTCTGCTTTTGATGTCTATGCTGTCTAGGTTGGTCATAGCTTTTCTTCCAAGGAGCAAGCATCTTAATTTCATGGCTGCAGTCACCATCTGCAGTGATTTAAATTAATTAATAAAAAAAAGTTATGTGTATGTTTTAGGAATAATGTGAGCCTTTTGAACTAATTTTAGAGGTAATCAATTCATTCCTCTTTAATGCTGAGAGTTAAGTTTACTCAGGTAGAATTTTTCACGCACTGATAAATGATTTAGCTTCACTCAGAATTGGAAGGACTATGATAGGCTGTCAAGTACTCTGTAGAAACTGAGATTCATCTCTTTCACTGAATTGCCGTTTGAATTATCCTACTTAAAAGTGATATGAAGTGCTTAGCTGTAAGAAGTGAATCTTTTTAATACTCAGTACTACTCTTGTTTTACAAGATAGATAAACTGTTTGCAAATGGGTCTCTTTTTTAGTACTGCTTTAAAAATCTGGGGTTTTCATATAGTATGCCTGCCTCTTTGTTTTCCTTAGTAATGACTTTCTCATATTTTACTCTTGATTTAAAACCTCTTAAATCAATGATATATCTTCTGAGACTGTTTGCTAGGTTGCTCATCTGAAATATGAATACTTCCTAACTTATCTATGCCCATGACTTCATTTTTAGATTTTAAGTTCCTGATGTATGGAAACAATCATCAAGTTTTAATTAATTTCAAGGCTTCTTTGCATTCTCAAAGTTTGCTTTCCCCCTTCTTTCTTATTTTTTCCTTGTATGTTATCCTTGTAGTCTTTCAAGACAGTTCAGCAGTTAATACTCAGCGTAGGAGATCTGAATCATTTGTTTTAGCCTGTTTGATGTAAAAAGTCTGTGTGAGGCAGTAAATTCAACATAGTTCCTTCATATGTAATTTCTCTTTTCAGTCATGCTTTTTGTGGCCTCTTATCATGGGATGTGTATCAATCAGGATTAGATCTGGCTGCATATAGCTAAAGTCCACAGGAGGGCTTAAAATAGAAATTGATTTTTCCTTCACGTTCGTAAAGTCTAGAATTAGAAGATGATGGGGGTGATCAGGAGTTTCGCAGTATCAGGGTCACAGGCTTCTTCTGTCTCACTCTTCTTCCACACCCATCTCACGATCCTGAACGGCTTCTTGAGCTCCAGCTCTCATATCCAGACTCCATCCAGCAAGAATGAAGAGCAGAAAGGCGAAAGAGTCTTCTGGCTCATTCGGTCCTTCTGAGCAGACTTCTCAAAAGTCATGAAGCCATATTGTTTTACATTTCTTTGACAGTACAGAGCCTGTGTCCTCTTGGGGAATGTCTGTTGCCAGGGAGGCTAAAATGTATAGATTTTTTTTTTTTCTGCCACAGTGTATCCAACTAGACATCTGGGTTCTGTTCATTGTGAAGGAGGGGTGAATGGGTGTTGGAGTGAGCAGTCAGGAGCCTCTGCCTCACAGTTATTTCCAAGGTCTAGTAGCAAGTGGAACAATGTCTGGGTTATGATATAATCATGGGAAGTGATGCTAAGAAATCTCTGCTCTACCTGTGGACTTGGACTTAAACTTTTACCCCTAATCACTGTTATTTTTTGTGTTACTATTTTCCAAGTATATGTGTTAAGTACTTTTCATACTTTTTATGCCATTCCCATGGCACTATTTGTTAGGCACTGTCCATTTCATGTCATAGGTGAGAAAATCAAGACAGAGAGATTGTATAATTGGCCTGAGTCCTCAGAATAGTCGGTGGTGAGTCGAATGTTGAGTGTGCACTTAAAGATCACCGCTGATAACTGCTTTTGTCCTCTGTTTATTAAACTGTCTACCTATATATCTATCCCTCAGACATCACTGTCACTCTTGTACCCAGGAATCATTTGAGGTTGCTCAAGCACAAAGAACAGAAAAAAAAAAAAAGGTAGATTGAACTAAATATAAGGAAGAAAATAGAATGAAGTTGAGGTTCAGATGATACACAGAGTTCAGTGCTATATGATCTTACAGAGGTGCTAAAAGTCTCCACCTGACTTCTCATTGTGTCCTACCAGAAACTAACAGGCAGAAAAACAAGGTAGAATTTTTTTTTTTTTGGACTCTTGGCTTCATTTTTTAGTCTTATAATAATTTGAATCCTTATAAAGAATACTAGTTCTTTTTCATATTGTGCTTCAAGGAATTATAAAGACAATTATAGTAGCATTGTTACCATTTTCTGATTTTTCTCTTCGTGGGGTAGGTCAACTGAATTACCATTACTTATTTTTTGAGATGTGAATACTCAGAGAGAAAATATTTTAGCTGGACGTAGATCGTGTACTTGGTAAAAACTAGGGCTCATTTTTGTTTGTTTTAGAAATATTCCTGTCATTCTTTTGAAAAGATATGCATTCTGTAGATTGGGATCTTGGTAAAAATGGCATTGTGCTAAGCAGCTGTTTGTTAGAGCTTCCCTGCACATACACAGGCTGGTGAGTTCCCTCAGGACAGAAGACCTTGCCTTATTTCTGTTTTCTCCAGTCTCCTCCGTGTGTAGAGGTCTTCAGTAAGCGATTAATGAATGAATGACTACTAAATAAGGAAAGTCTGTTGATAAATGTTACTATTAATATTGCTGTGTCTTAAAACTTAAGAAAGTCAGTGGCCCTACCAGAATAGAGAAAAAGCAGGTCATTCTTTACATAGCCCTTTCACGTTGTATGAGGTGGGTTTTAGTACCATTAATGGTTGGACATTGGGACCACAGAGAGTCCAGCCCTTGAACATGGTGTGTGTGGAGAATCACCATGGCCGTGGCACCCCTGGAAAGTGGTGGCTGCAAAGGCGAGTTGCAGGAGTTAAGTCTGGCGAGTTGCTGGCATGTAAAAGGTCCTGATTGGTTTTAAGGAGTGAAAGTTAGATTCAGATTTTCAAAGACTTTCTATGACACATTATGTTTTAAAAAGTGATGGTTTTCTTGGAGAAAAGAAAGGACATGATTTGAATAACATTTGAAAAATAAAAAATAGAGATCTACTTCTTGCATTTTAGTTTTCAAGATTCCTTGTGACTAAAATATTAACAAAACATCTGTTATTTGTTTTTATTTCTCAGGATGTAATCTTCGTGGTGGGAAGCCAAGTTTTTAAACTACCCCAATGGATGCAGACAGTGATGTTGCATTGGACATTCTAATTACAAATGTAGTCTGTGTTTTTAGAACAAGATGCCATTTGAACTTAAGGAAGATTGCTTTAGAGGGAGCAAACGTAATTTATAAGCGTGATGTTGGAGTAAGTACCTGATTTTTGTTATGTGTGCTACATAGCCTAATTTTATAGTGCTGTGAATGACATACTAAGTAAAGAATGAGCACAGTACCTTATACATTTATTATAAAAATTGAGAATGGGTATGAAGGCTCTGCTGAAGCTCTAAAAATTAGATGCCAGTATATCTTGGTAAATTTGCATTAGTTCTTCAGGCTAGAAATGAAGTACAGATGAATTAAATTCAATTAAAAGTTTCAGTGAGTCACAATTAAAGATTTTCATGTTCATCAATAATGCCATCTTCACTTTTAAAAAGAAGTAAATAATCTGCTAAAAAGAGAGGGGCAGGCTTAATGCTGCATTGAAACTTGAGCATGCCATATGGCAGACAAGTTATTATTCCTGGGAAGGTTAACATCTTGAGTTGATGGACAAGCTGGTAGAGAAAGACGACTAAATGAAGAAAAAGCTCTGTTTCTCAGCCACTTAGGTAAGAAATTTTATAATATATTTTAGCTCAAATTTTATTTTGAGCCTGTGATAATTTGGGTCTCCCCAGGTTTACTAGCTTTCTAATTTAATATTACAACATATGACAGAGAAAGAGAGGAGCTCAGAATGTAACAAGAGCTTTAAGAAGAAATGTCCAGTTCCTTTGTTTGTTACATATTCAGTAAAACATTTAGCTCTTCTATATATTATGGCCATTTATTAAATATTGCCACAAATGAAGAGTTGCAATGAAAATTTAAATTCACTTGTTATCTTGGACCTTAGTCCTTGACCTCCTTACACTCACACTGTAGATAATTTAATCCAAATCCATAGCTTTAAGTGCCTTTCATTTCTAAGGAATCTAAAATTACATCTCCAGCTCCAAACTTCCTCCTGCGTTCGAGATTTGCACATCAGTCATGAGTATGTAATAGGCATATCAGCTGTAAGACACAGAAGAAAGTAATGAGCAGCATGAAGCAGAGAAGAGCAGGGCTGGAAGTCACAGAGGGGTGCAGGGATGGGGGTTTTGGTGAAACGGTCAGGGAAGGTCTCTGTAGAGACGACATCTGGTGAGAGGCCTGAAGGAGGAGAACACTGGATGAAAGGAACAGCTATGCCAAGTTCCTAAGGCATGCACGGTTTGGCATGTTTGAGGATCCATGCATATTGCAAATTCCAGTTATGTGAGCAGAGGGAGAAGTCGGAATGTGTACTTGTAGTACATTATTTCAAGTATAAAGTGAGAGATATATACAGGCCTTGAATTTTTTATTGATTAAATGTCCTTTTGAATTAATAAGTTCTTTATGTTCAGTGCTGTTCTTCATTTCAGAATGGGTGGTTTGGAGAACAGTTATTTCAGTCTTGGGTAAGCTTGAAGTAGTATTTAAACATAAAATGGCCACATAGAGTAGAACCATGTGTGGAAATTAACCAAGCTGTTGGGTTTTTGGTTTTCTTTTCTTTTGCAGAAAGTATTAATGAAGCTTAGAAAGCCTAGGATTACAGCTACAATTTGGTCCTCAGGAAAAATTATTTGCACTGGAGCAACGAGGTAAATGTTATTTGGGTTTTTATTTTTAATTTTCCCCTCATGGGAAAGACATTTTTCCGGACTTGAAAACAAAATCGCATGTACAGTTTGTTGTGTTCCTCAGTAAAATTTATTTCCTGTGTAACTGATAATCTTTTTCTTTCTTTGAAACCATAGTGAAGAAGAAGCTAAATTTGGTGCCAGACGTTTAGCCCGTAGTCTCCAGAAACTAGGATTTCAGGTAACGTTTTCAAAAGCTATCCAAGCTACAGATACCCAAAAATTTATTTCTGTAAATTTAATATATATATATATAAATTTTAATGGTTTGAAGAAGTCCCCTCAAACTCCTCTTATGATTGATCTTTTTCTAAGTTGTATAATTCTGTCCTTCAGCTCAAAAATGTAGGGGCAGACTTTGCCCACATGGATGTTTCTATGGGATCCTGGCTTTTTCACAAATTTCTTTCCCATGGAGACTTGTTTCTTTATAGAGTAACCACTTTTCAACTCCTTACATTTGTCACTTCTCTCTCTCTCTCACACTCTCACACACACATGCACACACACACAATCTGTGTTTGATCATCACAGGAATGCCGTGTGAGGATGATGAGCGAGAGCCGTCGGGCCCTGCTGACACGTACACGCTGGTTGCAGGCTCTCAGCCTCGTAAGGTGACCGTCTCTAGCAGGTCAGCCTTACAGTTTCTAGAGGCCTAACTTTGAATAAAATGAATATGTATCCTGGACTCTGGCTCACTTAGAAATGATGAGTAAACAAAAGAAAAAGGAGGGCTGCTGTTCCTGAAGAGATGGGCCTAGGCAGTTTGGGATTTGGGTGGGAGGGGATGGGGGCCAAGTCTCTCTGATGACGGCGGTCTCCCCTGAGCTGGAAGGTGCTGGGCAGGCACCGAGGCGCGGGGGTGTGGGGTGCTGGTGCCGGCCAGCAGCACGGTAGACAGCCATGACTGATGGCAGGCCGCTGGGCACGCCTCCTGACGTTCTCTCACTGCCTCGTGCCTCTGCTGAGGTGAAGGAGAGTTAGTTCATCCGGATTCGCGGTTTTACTAAGAACAGTTGAAAAGATAACAAGGTAAAACCATTAAACTATTGGTAGAAGTGGCTAAAGTTATTAATTTTGAGAGGACATTATTTTCAGCCTTGGAGCTTCTTTTCTTAGCATTACATTAGAGATGTTGAGAGAAATCCCAGTGAGTTAAAGACACAATTTTGTCTCTCTGTTCCTCATTCTGTCCCCCAAAATGAGCAAACATCTAACTGAATTCGCAGAAACATCATTTTACCTTACTGCATGTAAGAAAAAGTCTGGCCTTAGGAGCTCAGTGTCCACTGCTTTTTGAGTTTGAAATAACAGCTTTTCCATTTTGACTCTTTTTGGAGGAATCTGCTTTAATGTTTCCTCACTGTTCTCCGTCTTATACTGCTAGATTAAATATGCCGTTTAAAGTACAATCTTAAAATTCAGAAGACTCAGATGTACTATTTTATTCATGCAATGATCTCAGGCTTTGTTTATTTTTTAATAAAGTTTTTGAGCTCCCCCCCTCCTGCTTAATTACAGCATTAAGGAGTCTCTGGTAACTGAAAATACTAAATCATGCTTTAAATGTTTCTGTTTATCTTGTTTGCTCTTATTTTTAAGGATTAAAATTTAAGATTTTAAATTAAGATTGCCACGATGAGTAAGGTTTTTTTGTTTGTTTCAAAATAATTCATTGGTTTCACTTCTCTCCCAAAGGTAATATTCACAGATTTTAAGGTTGTTAACGTTTTGGCAGTGTGTAACATGCCATTTGAAATCCGTTTGCCAGAATTCACAAAGAACAATAGACCTCATGCCAGGTAGGTCTTCGAAGAATCAACATAACTTACCAAATTTGAAATTACTTGTGAGTCTATAATATTTATATTAATTGTGGCTTTTTTGTTATAGTTATGAACCTGAACTTCATCCTGCTGTGTGCTATCGGATAAAATCGCTAAGAGCTACATTACAGATTTTTTCAACAGGAAGTATCACAGTAACAGGTATTTTATATTGAAACCAAGCTTGTCAATTATGAATTGAATGAGATAAGGAGGTGTTAATACCAAAATGGAGATAAAGTCTGCTTTTTCTCTTCTGCCCTCCTCAGAGAGCCAGTATCCTCATTTTTTAACACAGTTGTTGTTCAGCTACTAAGTCATGTCCGTCTCTTTGCAACCCCATGGACTGTAGCATACCAGGCTTCCCTGTTCTTCACTATTTCCCAGAGTTTGCTCAAACTCATGTCCATTGAGTCAGTGATGCTGTCCAACCATCTCATCCTCTGTTGCCCCCTTCTTTTCCTGTCTTCAGTCTTTCCCAGCATCAGAGTCTTTTCCAATGAGTCTGTTCTTCACATCAGATGACCAAAGTATTGGAGCTTCAGTTTCAGCGTCAGTCCTTCCAGTTAATATTCAAGATTGATTTCATTTAGGATTGCCTGGTTTGATCTCCTTGCTGTCCAGGGGACTCTCAAGAGTCTTCTCCAGCACCACAGTTCAAAAGCATCAGTTCTTCAGCACTCAGCCTTCCATATGATCCAACTCTCACATCTGTACAGGACTACTGGAAAAACCATAGCTTTGACTCTGTGGACCTTTGTTGGCAAACATAGTAGATGAGTTTAACCTGCTTTTATATACTATTTTGAAATCTATGTATACAGTTTTGTGTATGTCTTCTTTATCTTCATCATTACCATAGTAGATTCATCTGTATTGTTCCACATAGTTGTGCATCAATCGTTCTTATTGCTGTTTAGTACCCAGTGTGTGAATATATTGTCCCAAGAGCATTTGGGTTTTCAGTTTGGAATTAAGAATACTCTAGTATATGTTTTCATTCGTTGTTTTTAAGTTTATGATGTCTTGCACCTAAAATACTCAAGAGGAGCCTATTTTGTGAACGTCATAGAGGTTTTACATGAGTAAAACATTGAAATATAATTGGTATCTATTTGTAATGTATATTTTGTTACATCTTTTGAGTTTTTAATTATTTGGAAGAGGTGATTTCAGAAGACTAGGCATAGATGTCAAAGGGTAGCATTTAGCATTCAGAGTGATTTTTTTAAATGGTATTGTGGTTATAAATTGTTCATAGACATTACTTGGAAGTCAGGTTCAGCCTTTGGCAAAATTAAGGAAAACTTCTTTGGATCTTTGAATTTTCTTATTATTCCATTAATCCTTAAATGAAAATACACCTATAAACCTTCAATAGAAAAGCTTTAGTTTTGATTCATCCATGGGTTTTCACATCTTCCTTGGAGACTTTTAAAGGCTCTTGCCAGGATCATTCCTGAATCTTAAAAAATGGAGTGCTGGGGAGCAAGTCTGTTTCTTTCCTTCTTTAGGTTTCTACACTTTGGAGCTCAGACCTCACAGAGGCTCTAAAATATATTAAGTCCGTGCTAATTATGGAATTTGGCTTCCCTGGTGGCTTAGTGGTAAAGAATCTGCCTGCCAAGCAGGAGACTCGGTTTGATCCCTGGGTTGGGACGATCCCCTGTAGAAGGACGTGGCAACCCACTCCAGTATTGTTACCTGGGAAATCCCATGGACTGAAGAGCCTGGTGGGCTATAGTCCATGGGGTTGCAAAAAAGTCGGACACGACTTAATGACTAAACAAGAAGTATGGAATAAAATAATGCTTATGTAAAATACATACATTAAGTTAATAGAAAATTAACACAACGGCAAACTGAAGACCATTGACCTGGTTACCTAGTATGCGTTATATGTTAACATCTGGAATACCCTCTGAACTGTTAGTTCAGTGGACACATTCAGAGTGGTCCCGATGGGCAGAGCTCTATTCTCTGGAGGGACTGAGGTGAGTCAGAAAAGGGTTCCCAGTGGATGCATATGTACGTTTTTAGGATCTTTCAAAAATTAAGTGTAAATGTTAGTGGGGGAAGAAACACATATTTATGTATTTATTCAAAATAGGTTTTATGAAAATATTTTTCATTGTTCTTTTCTATATATTTTTTAGCTATTTAGATGAAATCTTACATATTTTATTCTTAGCATTGTATGGATTAATAAATATATTGCATCACCTCGTCCCCTGGTGCTTTTTTGTTTTTAATTGGCAGTTATTATTCAGTCGCTAAGTCATGTCTGACTCTTTGCAACCCCATGAACTGCCAGGCTCTTCTGTCCATGGGATTTCCCAGACAAGAATACTGAAGTGGGTTGCCATTTCCTTCTCCAGGGGCTCTTCCCAGTTCAGGAATCAAACTGGCGTCTCCTGCTTTGGCAGGCAGATTCTTTTCCACTGAGCCACCAGGGAAATAAGCTGTAAGGGTGAATGACCAGATGAGTAATAAAGCTGTGGATCCCAGATAGTGGTAAATCCGTGGGGATGTTGGGACCATGCCGTTTATAACAGCCCCGGGTTTCCCAACTCTGGTGGCGGGCTTGTTTACTTCTGCTGGGTTCCTCGATACTCCTGTGATGAGCTTCAGTCGTAGCTAACCAGAAGCCAGGCTGCAGTGACCAAAAGGATCATAGATTAATAGCTGTCTAGTTGTGATTGTTAGTCCTTCCTTTAATGAGCATGTTTTAGCACTTTGTATTTTCCTCATGATTGTGTGTGTGTGTGTTTTAATATACTTCCTTTTCACAATGGTGCCCAAACCAAGATGAATAACATCATTTTGTGTTTGATTGCCTTTCATTGTTCATAAAAAATTGTATTTCTTGGTTCTTACTATGACTGTGTGTATAAGTGTAGATTTTTAAAAGAACAACCTGATATTCTACTGAAGTACTCAGTTCTTTATAATTCTGGGGAATGAGCTTTTCCTCACTTTCTTCTGCCTCTCCTCACCTCCTCCTTCATTGTGTTGTTGCAGGACCCAATGTAAAGGCTGTCGCTACTGCTGTGGAACAGATTTACCCATTTGTGTTTGAAAGCAGGAAAGAGATTTTATAATTCACCACTTAATTGGTTAGAATCCTTAACTGAGCACCTTTTAAAACCTGCTGCACATTGGACTCACAAGGAAAACCGGACCAACAGTAACTGAGGAAAGAGACTCTTTTATTCTTTCACGGCTACAGTGTAAGTTCCAGGCCCTTTGGATTTTATTTCAAACCTTGCTGTAATATAAAAAGGAAGTTTACAAGACATGACGTTGCTGCTTTTACAAAAGGACATTTCTATTTATTTTCGCAGTAATTTTCATGTCCCCACGAGCAGAGCTGTCTCCATGTGCACTAGCGCAGATTGTTTTGTTTTTGTCATTATTTTTTTTCCAGTTTGAGCTAATGTGTTTTATTTGTGAATAGTCTTTTACATTTTTGTATGCTGAATATGGGCACCAAAGAACCTGTAAAAGTTATCTTTTTCAATTGAATGTGCACAAATAAAAGTTTGGAAAAGATCTCTCTTCATATCCATTCTATAACTTTTATTCCCCATTTTTCTATTTTAACAAAAATTGTATTCATAATTCTTTTTTTTAATCTATGCAAGCTTAGACTTTTGCTAAAGTGTGTCAGCTTCGTTTTGAAGTGTATTTTGTAAATATACATATGCCACATGTGAATAGTATCTTTTAATGCTCTGTTACCAAATATCAAGTAGGAATTTTTTTTTTTTTCTTGAAGATTAGAAATGAAAACATGTATATAAATTGTAGGGAAGCAGAGTAGAACTTTATAGATTAAGCATAATGTTTTATGTTGCTAATTTAACATGATAGAAAATGTTAACCATCTTTTAAAAGTTGCAGAGTTGTAGTTTTAAAAAAAGAAACCTCTTATTACCTACAAGATAAATATGAGAAAAGCTGTGATGGGTTGTACCTCATATGTACCTTTGTTATTCTGGACTCAACTTTGGTTATAGGAAAAGAATAATCTGAGGTTGATACTCAAGGCTGTATATTAAGAGTCTTGTCAGAAGTTGAAACATTGTGCTGTTTTAACAAGAAGTGCCCCAGTGTGACTATATTAATACTACAGTTCAACTTGAACTTGAAAGCCATTTTGCAAGATAAGTCTTTCCCCTTGCTGTGTCTTAATGAAGCTAAAGAGTGACTATTCAATACATGGGATTGCGCCTTTAAAGTTAACAGTAAATACGCATTTGTGAACCGGTGACTCTGGCTCACCCATGAGCCCAGGAATGGTAATACAGTATCAAAGCTGCAGTGGTGCTCGACCAATTGAGTATTAACTGACAATGATTTTACCTAGAAATAAAACTGAGCGGAGAGTTGTATTAGCTTTTCTCAATTAACATTAATAGAGATAATAATACAACACAGTCTTCCACTAAAACCTTGATTTTCCAAAATGTTTTGGAACCTTTGTGAAAAATTGGAACACCTTAACCTCTATATTCTAGTACATTTTCCTTACCATGTTCTAAAATCTTGAAAACTGTACTGAACAATGCATATTATTTTATGTTTATCTTTGTCTTCTTGATACCTTCCCCTGCCCTTCTTCTCACTCTTCCTAAGTTGGAGGCAAGGGCTAACTTTTATATTTTCTCTCTTGGGAGAGACTTAATTGTGATTTTCAGACTTCTTTCTCACTTTTTACATTTGTGTTTACTTGCTTCGTTTTAAGATCCAGTGGGGTAGGTAGCCTCATAAAATATATACAGAATAAAATTCAATGAAAATTATAGGTTCTGGCAGACTGTTTGAAAACGTTGAGTTTTCACTTAAACTTAATTAACAGTAATTAAGTGACCTCCTGTTCTGCAGTGTTCACAGAAAAAGAAATAGAGAGGGAGGGACGGGGGGAACATGATGATGTAGCCAAGATGCAGATCCAAATGTTGTACGATTTTTCAGTATTGGAGTGACTTGAAAACTAGGTAGCTCAGTAGCTCATCAAAACGCTTTCTCAGAAAAGAGGAAGGAGGACAATCTGACTGGGTCTGGTTTCAGGGCTGCTGCTCATGTGTCGCCTGGCAAAGTGTCATGGGTGTGACCCACTATACTTAAAGCTGGTAAGAAATGAGTGCGTCTGATGTCTTCTGGCTTTTCACAAGTGCTGTACATTTTTTTATAAATAAAAACTGTAAATATATACATAAAAATTATAAGTATTCCCCCTTTTTATTTTTGAAAGTGAAAATGCTGTAGTTGGGGTTGTATTGGATAAAAATTAGTTTGAAAATAGAATTGTTTCATTATAGATTCTGAATAATAAAAGAAAAATAGAATTTTTAAGATACTGAAGTTGAAATCACTTAATGATAAACCTACTAAGTTTATAAACAGTTCCCTGCCCATTTACAATGCATGGCTAAGCCATGAAATTGATAAAGGATACACAGTGTTTGGACTTGCACAGTTTAACAATTTTGTTAGTATCTTACAATCTGAGATGCTTGGCAAAGAAAAAAAAATCATACTGATTATTTACCTGTCTTGACCTTTTTTAATGTCAGCATATAATTCCATTGAAGGTTCTTAATAAATTTCTTCAATCAGTTATCTCTACATAACATACTTTCCCTTCTTCCAGAACAAATGAACAATGCATGCTCTAACTTGCGTGAGAAATGTACTGTGCAGAATGGAGATTGCAGATCTTTCTTCATATGTTCCCCTGCCAATTTTAATGTAGATAGTGTTTTTCAGCACCAGGACTTTTAGTCATTCTCCTGAGTTTCTGATAATACAGTTTTACTGTTGCTTACAGAGATGGAAGTCTGAGCACTTCATTATAAAGGACTGCAGTAGGTCTTACTTCCTTATATCAAACTGGGACAATTTGTTATGGGCCGATACAAAAATTTCAGGCTAAATGAAAAGGGCTTTTGACTCTGAGGATTCCCTTTTCTTCAGAGTAATCATATTTTTGTATTCTTTTTCAACTTAGGTTCTTCAATACATTTTGTGTGTTTCCCATAGTTTAAGTCATTTAGTGGATTACTGCATAAATGGTTTGAGATTTTTTATTGTAGATTTTCTACCAGTGTACCAAATTGTATTGGTAAAATGCCTCCCCACATCTTCAGATTCAACTGGTGCAGTACAGAAAAGAGCAGTCCATTACTGTGTGGGTGAAAACCCATGTTTCTGGTACAGTCAGTGATCTCTGTTTCATCATAGAAAAGAACATAGTGAGGGAATTGTCCCCATGTCTAGATGTCATTTATTATGCCTGCAAGTATCTGAAAGTCAGCATCACTTATAGCCCATAGGCTGTAACCTGAGGTAGTGATATTCCTGAGGCATGTGAAGAACTGTAGGTAACTATGGATCTAAGTTATCATGAAAGCCTTACAAAGAGAGACGTGTGTAAGCTTAACTTAGTAACTCAAAACCTAACTACTTAACAGATTTGGATAAATAACCTAATGACTGACTCCTTTTCTCATGTTTTACTAACAACTACTACTAAATAAATATGATCCCACGATTTTGAAAGTATCCTTTCTACTCATACATTTTTTTAATGGATAAAAAAATGCTTATCTTTCTCAACTATTGCAGAGTTGCTTCTTTTTAATACTTTGTAATACTAACATCAAATTCATAAAAGAATATTTTGAATTACATTGTAGTCCATGATTCATAAAATAAGATGGATAATCTTTATACTTGTTGAACTATAATTAGAAGTGATCACTGAAGTTCTAACCAGGACCCTATCCTAACCTAGAATATGTGTGCAATTGTCCATATTGTGTCTGGGTTCTTTTTTACACAAGACCTAGTGTGGGGAATGTGTTGGTAGGCAAAGAACCATAAGCTTATGTTCAGAAAGCTTATGTGTCTGAATAATAAAGCCATAACAGGCCTCTGTGCATAACAAACTTTAAGATAAAAGTTGCTCTCATCACTAGTTCATCATCTTTCAAAGGATGCTCTGTGAAGAAGGTGGAAAATACTGAACCTGGTGGTATTATTTTTATCCTGGTATCCTGCTCAGAGTAAGAAAGAGACCCACCTGGGACCTTGTTCCTCAAACACCTTTCATGGTTCCTTTGGGGGGCGGGGTAATGAGTGAAGACGGTATAATTTCAGGATATCCATTTTAAACTAGTTCCATGACAGGACAGAAAACGTGGGAGTGGCTAATACATATTGGTAGGAAGACACCCTAACTGTTCTCTTTCTGTATCAACCCTTGAAGGGTTTTGAGGCCATCAGATCTCTGAAGAAAGCTGCCTTGGCTGTCCCTTACCCCGTAGCTTTTTAGACTCCAAGAACTGCTCTTGGGGGTTGCTTTTTTGAAGCTGTTTTGGCACTAATTCCTCCCGGTGATGACTCATAAAGCAAATGTTGTTTTTCACATAGTTCCTGAAAGAGAAAGAGGCACTAATGAAAATGTCATTCTTAATTTACAGTATTTGGGGGGGGGGGGGGGGAATGTGCAGGCTATCATTTTTTAAAATCACCCTGGGGCTTTAATATTTTGGCTGTGCAAAAAAGACCAATGTTTATTGCAAAGTTTCCATGTGTCACGAAATTCTAGGCACCACAAACCTTTGATCAATCTCATGCAGAGGGTAAGGTGGGGTGTCTTCTCAGAACAACCATGGCATTCCTGTCTGCAAGGAAGGATCCCAAGGGTAGTCTTACATAGAATGAGTGGAGATTACAACCCAGATCCTCTGATTTTTTTCCCCCCTTTTCTCAGACTGGTTAGCAATATGCCTATATTTGTGTCTACACATTCTGCTTTCTGCATTATTCTTTTGCTCCTGCTTTAACAAACTCATTTCTACAAGATTATTTCCATCAGCATAGAAACATGCTCTAGTATTTTATGTCTACTTTTAAAAAGACCACCTTTGAACCTTTCTCTCTCCTTAAATACACTGTCTATGGCTTATCCAGTTCGTTGAGTGGCTACAACATTCCAGGTGTTGTGTGGTTGGGGTAGATAAAGACCTTGCTTGCAAGGATCTTGCGTCTTAACAAAGGAGACAAGCCACATAAGCATGTGACTTCAACTAGTAGGAGTGCTAATGAGAACAGTCAACCAGGAAAGCGGAAAAGAATGATGTAGTGGGGACGTGGAGGACTTCATCATACTGCTGGCGTCTCCAAAGATGAGGTGACATTTGATCAGAAACTGGAGTGAAGTTAGGGAGGAAACCATGGGAAGGACTGCAACTAAGGATCATTTACGGAAAGTCCAGTGTGGCCAGAATATAGCGGGTACGTGAATGACAGAGGTGAGGCTGGAGGGGTAGGCAGCAGCCATAGGTAAGAAGCATGAATTTCATTTGAAATGTAGTAGGATTTTGAGCTGAAGAATGACATTTTAAAAAGATCCATCTAGCTGCTGTATGGAGGATGGACTGCAGAAGGTGGAAGATGAAAGAGGACTGGTTTGGAGGTCAGTCCAGATAAAAGACGGTGGCTTGGATTTAGACTAGTACTGGTAGAAAGTGTATATTCGTATGTTCACAGCTAACAAGACTGACTGACAGTGTAAGGAATAGCATGGATGAATCCTAAGCCTCTGGCCTCAGAAGCACTCTTGGCCTCAGAGGTTCCCCCAAGCAAAAGACTTTGGAGGAAAGATGAGAAGGGCGGTCAGTGGTACTGGGAATCCAGAGTTCTGTGTAGGTCATGTTAAATTAGAGATGCCTATGGACATTGTAACTGAAGATGTCAAGTAGACAGATTTGGGAATTGAAAATTAGGTAAAAGGTCAGAGACCAGAGAAAATCATTTGTGAATCATCAATTTATGGATGGCTTATAAAGCCAGGGGAATACACCCAAGAAGTGAGTGTAGAAGGGGATCAAGGATTAAGCCCTAGGCATTATGGTATTTGGAGGGAGGAAGGAAGGAAGGACGGAAGGGGAAACAGAGGAGACCAAGGAGTTACTGATGAGGGAGGAAAGCCAAGAAAATACAATATTCTAGAAGAAAAGGAAAAGCGTTTAAAGATAGGGAGCGTGAAGAACTGGACACATACTGCTAGAGTCACATAACACGGCAACATAACGGGTTTGGTAACAGAAGTCATGGGGAGTGAGGAAGCAGGAAAGAAAGCCTGAGCGGAGTAAGTTCAATAGAGAATGAGAGGGAAGGATGTGGAGACAACAAACATAAAATGCCCTGTAACTGAACAGTGGGGGCAAGGAGTGGGTGGTACCTGAGGGGAATTGGAGATTTGAGGTCTAGGGAGGTATTTTGTTAAGGATGGGAAGTACTGTAGCTGTGTGTGTGTGTGTGTGTGTGTGTGTGTGCAGTGATAATCCCATAGACGGGGGAGACTGATGACATACTCAAGACAAATGAAAGAATTGGTTTTTATACCAAGGCGCAGAAAACGGTACAGCTGTAGGTAGTTTAGTAGATGGCATAGAACATGAGGTAGGCTCTTTATTTCTCTTTTTTGTGTGTGTGTGTGTGTGTGAACTAAAAAGCCAAGACCATCAGCAGGGGGTGAGGAAGTGGGACGGAATGCTGGAGGTTTGACAGGTGACAGAGTGTGAGGTCGCCATCTAGGACAGTAGGAAAACCAACTGTGGTAGGACATTCCTGAAAACCTCTTTGAGACTTATGTTCAGCAATTTAAAACTGAACTTACCTAGCACAGTTGGCTATTTTCTCCAGCCATGTGTAGTTCCTCCGATGCAGGGAAAAAACAGGCTAAGAATAGACTTAATCAGAGCTGAGATTTGCCTGAACGATGAAGGGAGAGGGGATAAGGTAAACAGAGGGCTGGTGCATGGAATCTAACATGAGAAAGGAGTGGGTGATGAAGTGGATTCCCAGTCCTGGTGGGTGTTTGAGAGAGTGAGCTGAAATGCAGAGTGGTCCGAGGGTGAGTGGGAGGCTTGTGAAAGGAGCAGTGATGGGTTAAGACAGTCGAGACCATGATCGTCCTGTTTGTTCCCATTCCCAGCAAAACTGGACTGTAGTTGACGTCTTCACAAACTAACACGCTCAAGCCTCCTCGGTCACCTCTGTCCTCCCACCCCCACGGAAACTGTACCCAACAACCCGCAGTCAGCAGCCCCCCTGCACTTGGCCACTCAGCAGCATTTAGCATCATTTGCTGCCGCCTTCCCACAGCACTCCTCCTGGCTTCAGTGATTCCATATTTTCCGGGCTCCTCTCCAGCCCCCTGTTGGCTCCTTTCCGGCGCTTTCCACACTCACTCTCCCCTGCTCGTTCTCTAAATGTTGGCATTAACTAGGGCTTGGTCCTGGACCTCATTCTCTTTTCTCTGCTCTCCGACTAGATGACCTCATCTGGTTCCATAACCTACATACCATTTACTCCCAAATCTGACCCAGACTCTGCATGTCTCCAGAATCTCATACTTACATATCCAGCTGCCGATGAATACACATCCATCTGATGTCAAATGGACATCTCTATAATCTTCCCAGCTCTGAAACCAAGTTCTCTTTCAGGCTCCCCCATTTTACCATCCATGCAGCTTCTCAAGCTAAAAATTTAGTTATTATCCCGACTATTTCATTGCTGTGGTTTAGTTGCTCAGTCATGTCCAACTCTTTTGCAACTTCATGGACTGTAGCTGCCAGGGTCCTCTGTCCATGGGTTTTCCCAGGTAAGGATACTGGAGTGGGTTGCCATTTCCCTCTCCAGGGGATCTGGTCAACCCAGGGATTGAACCCACATCTCCTGCATTGCAGGTGGATTCTTTTAACGCTGAGCCACTGAAGAAGCCCCACTACTTCATTACCTTACTCCTATATCCAATTCATTCATTCATCCATTCATTTTCAATAATGTGCTTCAATTATATGCAAAGAAATTATTCCAGGTGCTGGGAAACTACAGTGAACTAAGTATACAAAAACTAGGGCAGAGACCCTGAGTCTTGAGCATTCCTGGTGTATTTGGGATAGAGCAGAATGACCTATACAGCTGGTGAGAGTGAAAGCGGGGAAGAGTGGTAGGCTATGTAGAACCGTATGGGCCTGAATACACATTGGAAGGACTGATGTTGAAGCTGAAGCTCCAATACTTTGGCCACCTGATGCGAAGAGCTGACTCATTTGAAAAGACCCTGATGCTGGGAAAGATTGAAGGGAGGAGGAGAAGGGGATGACAGAGAACGAGATGGTTGGATGGCATCACTGATTCACTGGACGTGAACTTGAGCAGACTCCGGGAGATGGTAAGGCACAGGGAGGCTGGGTGTGCTGCAGTCCGTGGGGTCGCAAAGAGTCAGACGTGACTAAGCAACTAAACAACATGGGCCATCAAAGCTGCTGGAAGAGTTGAGCAAAGGAATGGCTTGATCACATTTAAAGGGGTCACTGGTTGCTGTGCTGAAAACACTGGAGGGGACGGAGTCTGAAAACAGGACCAGTCAGGTGGGTCTCAGGTGGCTCAGTGGGTAAAGAATCCGCCTGCAATGCAAGAGATGAAGGTAGATGTGGATTCGATCCCCGAGTTGGGAAGATCCCCTGGAGGAGGGCATGGCAATCCATTCCAGTATTCTTGCCTGGAGAATCCCAATGGACAAGGAGCCTGGTGGGCTATAGTCCATAGGATCTCAGAGAGTTGGACATGACTGAAGTGAATGAGCATGCACAGGTGGTTACTGCAATAACACAGGAGAGGGCATGGTGACTCAGATCAGGGAAAGAACAGTGAAGATGGCCAGGTTCTAGATGTATTTTGAAATAAGAACCAACACTATATTCTGAAAGATTGAACATGGAGTGGAGGGAAGGATAGGAAAGACTCGAAGATCTGTGGCCAGAGCAAGTAGAAGGATAAGGTGGACATCAAGTGAGGTGGATGTCTGTGAGTGGAGTAGGTTTGGAGGACATCAGGGTTGAATTTAGATCATGCTCAGTTTGAAAGATTTGTTAGACATTTGAAAAAAGGTGTAGGGCAAAGAGTTGAATGGACAAGACTTGAATTCAGGAGAGATATTGAAGCTAGAGGTATAAGTGTTGACATCAGTGGCATATGAATAGTATAAAGGCCATGGCTTTAAGATCAGTGAGCCAGGGAAGGATAGACAGGTGATCAGAGGATGAAGCCCCGGGGCACGCCAACTTTAAGATAGTGAAACATGAGGCGTATCCAGCAAAGGATGCTGAGAAGAAGCGAGTGGTAGAAGACAACCGGGAGGTTGGTCCCTGAAGGCAGTGAAGCAAGGAGGCTCACCCCAGTCCATGCTGAGTGGTCATTATGCCAGCCATTAAGATGCTGATTGAGAACTGACCACTGGGTTGAGCAATGTGGAGTAACCTGGATGTTAAAAGGAACAATGTCAGTGGAGTAGTGGCCATAAAAGTCTGCTCACCAGAGCAGGTTCATGAGAGAATTAGGAAGAGAGGAATTGCTCA